CTAACAATGCCAATTTCAAATAATTTAAAGTTATTCTCTTGAATGCAACGACTTATTAACTTTCTAGTAATGTGGATACAAAAATGTCAAAAAAAAAAATAAGCGCTTACAAATGCTTACAATGTATGAAAGCAATGAGCATAAGATTTTAACTGAAGTTATAAACAAGCTTACTCGTGTAGTGAGGTCATATTCCGTAAAATAAGCTTAACAGCTAAAGTTTTGCCTGTGCCAGGTGGACCAGAAACGAAAATTGAAGCGGGGGAATGGTTAGAAATGGCATCATGAAGAAGCTCTGACAAAGTGGCAACTTCCTTCTCACGACCATACAAATTACCTGAAACAATAATAAAAATTTAAAACTGCCATAAACACTGCATAAAATTAATAGGAAATAGTTGAATATATTTGAAATAATTTAAATAAAATAGTTAGTAGCAGACTTACTGCTACTACTACTCTACTTATTACTATTGTTATTGCTATTGTTATTATTGTTACTTATATTATTAATATTAAATAATCAAATATAATAGTAAATGAAGATATATGAATGGTAACTTTGGAAGTCGGGATTGTTCTCGGAGCAGCTTTCTTGCGTTTTGAGGCGCTTATTGCTAGTGCAAGAAGATTGTTTGTCACTATGACGGAGTAATGGAGGTCTTTTTCTTCTTTTTACCATCTAAAAAGCAGTAATATATATGTAAGTCACAGCGCACAAAAATGATACAAAAATATGTGATAAGGTTTTGTGGTAATATTGTCGTTGCATGAAAATAAACCACACTGATAAGGTAAAAATTGATTGTAAATGCGATTACTTAAATTTTAGGGTTAGCTGCTTGCAACAATGTCTCTGGTTTCTTCAAGCAATCATTCTTCACGATCACATGCTTTAGAACAGAATTAGATACTTAGTGAAGATTTGGATAGAAAGAAAAAGACTGGAGGGAAGGAAAAGAATGGGTTGAGTAGTAGTAGTAGTAGTAGTAGCATAGTGCCTCTTGATGTTCTGCTTACTGATATAAGAAGTAGATTAGATAGATACATAGTCAGATCGGTGGATGGATGGATGGATGGATAGATCGAGGGTTAAATAATTAGATAGATAGATAGATAGAATGTTATGAAATGTTAAGTAAAAATGCTGGTTAATTTATGATAGAGAACGTAGGCATGGATGGACGTGGGAATGTTGCAACTGCTCGTAGAGTACTATCAGAGTGGAGATCAGATTGGCACTGTGAAATGGACGGTAGTGTACTTGCGTGAGAAGTCTACTGCATGCCACGCTGTCTTGCTATAATGCACGCATGCATAGTTATGCATGTGCCTTCTGGCAGTGAGAAGCAACTCAACAGAGTGAAGTGTGTTGTGATTGTGATTGAGGGCAGTGCAGTGCATGAAAAAGGAAGAAAGAGAAAGAGAAGAAAAAAGCAAAGCTGGCGAGAGGTCTACGCATACATAGACACTACCTACTGCTACAAATACATGCACGCACACATGGCAATCTTCCCGCCCAAAGCGAATGAATTTATTCGCAGTAAACAGCCTGCATGACTCATTATTTCGTACGTACTGACTCTATCATTTTTCCATTTACTCTTCGCTAATAAATTTGCGAATTCGCCACATATTAATCAACGAACCTTGCAGTACTAATTGCAATCTTATTATTATTGCTATTATCATCACATTACATTATCGCCATTACCATTACCATTATCAATCATCAGTAAGAGAGATAACAATATTAATAAAATTAACAGTAGCAATAGCTGCAATAACATAAAAAGGTTAGTAATTGAGTTAATAATTAAATGGGAGATAATAATACCAGTCTTTTCTTGCTATTTTCTGGAACTTTAAAATTATTCTTTTCAGCTTAAACGTCAAGTATTGCAACTTTGGTGAAGTTAAAGGAAAATCGTAAGCGGAGAAGTTGCTGCTCAGAAGCACTGCAGTGTTACCAGCATTGCTGCAGTACCTCTGCAGGTGGCGATCATGCAATTTCGCAGCCTTGCTTTATTGCCAGCAACATGTCTTCTACTTCTATGCCGCTTATCGACGCTGACTCGTCAGTTATATTTCCATTTGCGGTTTCTTTTTTTTTCGCAAACTATAACTATTGTAAAATCTTTTTTCTTCTCTGTTCGATTCTATTACAATACTACTATTATTGTACAATCTTTCCAACTGTCTTTTCATTTAACATATTCTTCCGTACCTAAACTTATTCACTCATTCTTCAGTAATCTTTATCCAAGTCTTCCTCTTCTGATTTCTTTGCCTCCCTCTTCTAGCAAATGCTTTCTGCTACTATCTATCTAATGATTCAGAAATTATTCATCTACTACAGTACTGTTAAACGGATGAAATTTACATTTCATTTCTTCTCATAATTACATATTCCTTATCGTAGTGTACAACACCTTTTTACATACTTGACACTTTTTAAACTATTCATTACTTACATCAGCCATTAGCTTATATTATGCATTATACTACCATATATGTATATTTGTGCTCATTCTTTTCTTTCACTGTGTAATATGTGTATGTGTATGTATATGTAATGTAAATGTTACAATCAAAAATCACATTTCTTTCAAAAAATACGTGCATGCATTGGCGATGTTGTCTCTACACGTTATTCTTATTCCTTCCTTTACTTCAACTCTTTTACTTTTATAAAATTAATCAATTAATTAATTACAAATTTCAGGATATTTTTACTGCGACATTTGCCACCACCTAGTGATGAAATACGCTATCGATGCCCGGCCCTACCACTTCGCACTCGTTCCACTCCTGAGTTCTCACTGGTTCTCGATTTGGTCAGCACTTCTCTCACTTATAATCTGATTCATAGCTGCTAGTTAATTACTTATAATTATCTTCAATATATTTCTGGCTACAGAATACATTTTCTAGGATGAAACACTAGTGCACTGCAGTTTGACTGAGCTACCAGATGCCTCGTTGACATTTCCTGTTCATTTCCAGGGAACTAATTATCAGGTATTTAACTTGTTTAATCGGAAAAAGTACTATTGTTATTAGTGATACAGCGAAATTTTCACAAAAAATTACAAATGAAACCAGTATACCCTATGCCGTTTTTTAAAGAATGTCTTGCAGAAAAAGTTGTAAGCTGAATTTCTCGCAAAAGTATCACACATAAACATTACTGCAGAAAGCAGTCAGCATTTTAATGGACGAAAAAATTTGCGAAGGATTAAGAAAAGTGGTAGCTGTGATTTGAATTACTTTATCCTTTTGAGAAATGAAACATGACAAGCGAAAGTAGTTAGCCTTATGTGTTATACTATAATTTAACGCGCAAATGAAAGCAGTGAATAATTCGTTAATAAAGCAACTCTTATCCATCTTGTTTTAGTTCCAAATACCGAAAAGTTCATTACATTAAATTCTTTCGTCAGTGATCATTATTTTTGCTGAAGAAAGTTGCATTGAATAACAATAAGTTAGTCATTGAATACATTTTCCTTCCACAACTGTAGCAGTTTTCATGCATTTTATTGTAACTTCCTGCAGTGATAAATAATGCTGCTGCTTCATATATACCATACATAACAAGTAGATGGAAATTATATCTGTAAAGTTTTTAAGCCAAAATTATAGGTTTATGTGCGAGTACGACCGCATCTGCAAGAATTTTTGGAGAGACTATCGCGCTCATTTGAGATCATTTTATTCACAGCCAGTAAACGTGTCTATGCTGATAAACTGCTTGTGAGTTTATGCTCGTTTGCTATTAGTATTTTAATATAGCAATAATTTAAGATTTCATTTGGAAAGCAACGAGTTTATAGTTAATGACAAGAAAAATAGCGAGGATGATGTTTGCAGATATAAAATTTATTTCCTAATAATTGAAATTTATCGTGGAAATCGTATTGAATCTTATTATACAGAATCTTCTTGATCCTGGAAAGCGTTTAATACGCCATCGACTTTTCCGAGAGCACTGTGTGATCGTTTACGGCAATTATATCAAGGATTTAACGATACTGGGTCGGGATTTATCCAAAACAATAATAATAGATAATTCACTGCAATCATTTGCTTATCAAATCGATAACGGCATACCTATTGAGAGCTGGTTTTTCCAACAAGACGATCGAGAACTATTGAAATTGATACCTTTTCTAGAACAAATTACTAGTCAAGTAAGTTGCAGCGTATTTCTTGAAAGAGAAGATTTATGTAGCACAGGGAGGATATGGCAGTAAAGTGTAATTGAAGTGCGATGAGGTACTATTAAATTAACTTTGATAAAATTTAAAAAATTTTATCAAAAAAGATAATGAAGAAAACTTCAGAAGAACGATGTGCGTCATATACTGCGAGCAAGGTATCGAATACGCGATTTTTTGCCTCCTCTTCCATACTGTGATATCGTGTAATATACGTGTATAGTACGAATATATAGATTTGGAATTTTTTCAGCTTGTAAAATTTCCTCTTTGATTAAAAAAATTTCCTTGATTAAAAAATCAGCATGACCACTAAATTGAGTGCTTTTTTCAGTCGTCCTATATCTTTCTAGCTTCTTGTATCATAAAGTATGAGATGTAACAAAGTGAGACTTCCATCGCAAATTCATCCCTCTTTGTACACATCACCTTCTCATGTGCATATTTAACAATGTTTCTATCACTGCTTACTTGGTATTGTGTAAAACCTAATATTGTATTTATTAATGTTAAAGTAAGCCATTAGAAAAAATCTTTGATTTTAAAAACTGCTTCATAATGTCGGTTTCTTGATAACTTAATCTGCAACAATTTGTTGAGGATAAATTATGAAATTCAGCATTAGTTCTGCCCACTTGTTACTTGATTTCTGAATTACAACAATACTTACATCTTCCTCAATTTGAAATAACATAAATAATATAAATCTCATGGCAACAAACGCTCTAAAGCATTTCCAATTCAACATTACTAAATAGCATGCTCACTTTTAACTTTACTCAACAAAAGTTCTGTCATCTGTTAAGAAATATATCGGAAGTTTGTTCGCATGACACAAATACTCCGTCCATATTTGCTTCGTATGTCGATTCTTTCCAGCGAAACCTAATCCATATAAGAATGATGTGTGATGAGAAGTGCAGTTTGGATGTCAATTTTGTTAGCAAGTTTAAAAAGAGAAGAACGAGTTTTTTCGATAAAAAACTGTGTTTAATCGCTTCTAAAGGTCTCAAAATGCAGGGCGCTTTCCACAAGGTCAAGAGTAAAGTTTCAAATTAACTAAGGTAAGATGAATGATTGAATTCAGCATCAGTTCAGAGATAGAGCTAACTATATGCACCAAAGAAATACTAGCAGCGAAACAAAGACTCAGTGGTAGTAAGTGATACCTGAGAGAGAGTGATTTGTGGATTGATGGAAGAACTTGGAGATAACTGAATAATAGTAAGTATTAGGCAGTAAAAGGCTTATACATATCAAGTACTAGAGAAAAGTATATGTGAGAAAGCAATTTCGTAAATATTTTTAATTAATCAAAATTTAACCTAGCAATTATTGTCGGTAGTCGTGAAGGGAGAATATAGCAAGGTGACC